GATAAAGCCATCAGGCTGAAGCAGCAATGAGCATGCTTTCTTTCAAACCTTCATTTGTGCAGGATGGTGTGGAGAGGACACCAATGAGAATTTACCTACAAACGACCTTTACTAAGTGAATTTTGAAGGATATAATTCAAACTGAAAGGAAGTGACTTCAGGTGCATGACATGATTCGCAAGAAAAAATAGTGAAGCAAAATAAATGTATGATAATCTAAGTAAACCAATGACTACATATGAAACAAAGATAATTTGTGGGGGAAATACGGCAGGCTAGATTTAAAATTCCAAGTTGTAATAGCTTATAAATTAGGAAGGGAAATTGGAGTATAGGGTATCACAAAGTTCTTGTACTGTTCAAGAGAAGACTATGGCCATTGATTACCTGCAACTTCTTAAATATGTATTAAATGGAGCAAATGTTAATAGAATACAGTAAAAAGAATACACAAAGGTGAACAAAATAGTCCTGAAGGCAAGAGAGGAGGGAAGGAAAAGGTAAAATGGGACAATTCAAAAGTTCAAAATGTGATATTAGAAGTAAAACCAAATCACTAATCACACTAAGTATAAGTGGACTAAATTATCTCATTAAGGCCTTAATGGTTATACTGTATTTTAAAAACACATAAAACAAATTTCAGCTCTGTGCTCTACAAAAGACACATCTAAAGAACACAGATAGATAAAGGCCAGATTATGGAAAAACACGTCAGGCAAGTAGTAACCAAAAGAAGGCACGCATAGACACATTACTATCAGGAACATTCAGGCAAAAAGCGTTATTATAAATAAGGAAATTTGCTGCATAATGATAAATGCTTTCATTAATCAGGAAGATGTATTGATTCTAAATTTATGTGTACTGCATGAATTTGCTTACAGTCTCATATAAAGCCAGACTGACAGGATTAAAAGAAAAACTGGTCAAATCCACCATAGTATATTTTAACATGCTCACCAGTAGATCACACACTAATCAGTAGATCAAATTGATCCCCCACCCCAAAAGAAGAAAATAGAAAATGTGAGAATCACAACAATGGTACTTGAGCTAATGGACTTGACTACATCTGATGTCTGGAAAAGACACATTCCTTTCAACCACACATGGTACACTTGCCAAAGCAGTCACACACTTAGACAAAAAGCTGGCTGACCTCACTATACTCAAAAGACTGGAATATGACCAATCACATTTTTTAACCACAGTGTAATTAACTCAGAAAACAAAGACAATAAAATAATTAGAAAAATTCATTTACTTGGAAATTTAATAACATACAGTCATCTCATGGGTCAAGAGGGAAATTATAATTGAAGTTAGAAAATTTCATCGTGCAACTTTTCACATCAAACTCATGGGATACAATATTTGGAAGGAAACTTAGAGTATGAAACACTGACCTTTAAAAAACTAAGAAGGCTAAAGATGGAACTAAGGTCAAATACAAATCAAAGACCCATAGATGCAGAGGCAAGGAAATGAAAAGAACAGAAATTTATAAAATAGAAACACATAGAGGAGAGATCAACAAAGCAAAAACTGCATGTTTGAAAAGATAAGATTCATTTTTTAAAGGCACAAATACAATGAAGTGAAAAAAAAAACAAACAAACCCCAACATTATCAGAGAGGCTACAGAGAAAAACAGCTAGGATATTAAGAACAATTCTCAACACACTTCAAAACATTGATATAACAGATGATGATGTAGAAAAATAGAACTTTGCAAAACAGATCAAGGAGAAAGAAAAAATTAGAATAATCCTTTAACTGGAAAAGAAATGCTATTAGTAGTCAGACATTTAAATGGCTTTATCTGAATGCTGCTGAACATTTAGGGAACAGATAATTTCATTCTTATACAGAAAATGGAAAAGAAAACACTGATGAATATGGGTGCAAAAATTCTAAACAGATGCTACCCAACCAGATCCAACAATGACTGAAAAAAATCATGATCAAGTTAGGTGTATTCCAGGCATTTAATTGATTAATATTAGAATTTCATTAATAGAATTTACTACATTAATTACAGGTTAAAAAGGAAAAGTTATATTATCTCAATAAAGATTATGAAATTCAACATCCATATATGACATTAAAAAAGTCTTCATGTATTTAAAAAAAATAGAAATTTCATTAACTTGTTAAGAAGCATCTACAAAAGATATCCAAAAAACACAGTTTATGGTGAGACATGGGAAACACTCCCTTTAAGATTAGGAATGAAGCAAAGATGTGTTCTCCATTGTGCTTTTTCCCTCCTTTTTAACACTGCATGGAGGTTTGAGTCAGCCCAGTGGTGGTCAAGAAGAAGAAACAACTTTTAAGAGTGGGAATGTTAAATGGTGTGACTGCTGTGGAAAATGTGCAGTCATTCCTTAAAAAATTGAACAATTACCATATGATCCAATAATTCCATTTCTAGGCATTACCTGAAAGAATCAAAAGCTAGGACACAACGAGATAGTTGTACATCACTATTAGAGCAGCTTTATTCACAATAGTTAAAAGGGGAAAGCAACACAAGTGTCCATCAACAGATGAGTGCATAACCAGAATGTGGTCAATACATGCAATGGAAAATTATTCATCCTTAAAAAGCCAGGAAATTCTGTTCTATGCTACAAAATGGATGAACCTTGAAGACATTATGCTAAGTGAAATAAACCAGTCACAAAAGGATAAATACTGTATTATTTCACTTATATGAGGTACGTAGAGTAGTCAAATTCATAAAGACAGATAGAAGAATGGGGGATTCCAGGGTCTTGGGTGGGAAGGGGAGTTAGCACTTAATGGGACGGAGTTTCAGTTGGGGAAGACGGCATCATTCTGGAAGTGGGTGATGGTGGTGGTGCACAAAGCATGAACCTACGTAGGCTACTGAACAGTACACTGAAAAATGGTTAAAATGGAAGATTATTTATATTTTACCATTAATTTTTAAAAGTTCCAGGGATTCCAAAGGAAGATACAAAATTACTACTATGCAGATGTTATTATTGTCTATAAACACTGCTCTCCTGAAGCCAGTACTTCCTACTAAACTCAGGGTTTTTTGTTACCCTGATTGCTGAATGGGGATGATTTCAGATACTATAGGTGAAATTATGTATCATTTTTCTGAGAAAGAATTAACAAGCTTCTATTACACCAGCGATTTTAAATTGGTGTGCTGCAAGAATTGATAAAATATGCAATACCTGACTAGTCAGGGGTACTGACCTCTTTTTCTCAGATTATCAAATTAAAAAAAAATGACTACTGCCAACAACCAACACAGCAAAAGTTTTCTGGTGTGAATGAATCAAAAATTTTTGGTGTGCTGCATAATGTTAATAACTGGTTAACATGTGCCATGAGATGAAAAAGTTTGAAAATTGTTGCATTAGACTGTCAGAGGGGTCTCTGACCCACAAAACTACAAGAGCCATTCTGAGCGGCCCCTCCCATATTGTTCATCTCATACCCTCCACCGCTCACCCCCCACCCCCAGCAGCTCTGCAGGAATGCACAGGCTATGACCAGACTACTTCCTATCAGTAATGCATTTGGCCTTTATTCACCTCCCATCTCATCCCCACCCTTCTCATCCCCTCTCTCCCCACCACAACACTACTTTTTCTTTCATTCACTCAGGTAATTTAAATATGATGTGAAGTATATTCTTATATTTTCCTGGAATTCATTGGACAAGGTTTAATTTTTTTTTAAGACAAGCAAGGCTCTGTAATCAATCAAACTTCAGGGTTTTTTTAGTATACTTCATTTTGTTACCAGTAGACAGTCTTTCCAGAGCACTGGGGAATCTCCCCCATTGGCCAAGATGGTAGCAAGGGGATGTTCTTACACTGAGCTCATGGAAAGCTAGCAAGATAATTGAATAGATAAAAAGTCCTTCCCCCTATTGGTACCAAATTGGGGGTGGGACCAAGGGAAGAGAGGCATATGCACCATAGGAGACAAAATGGCACAGGGGTAGATACTAGACCAAAGAGGACTGTCAGTCTAGCCTGGGGAAAGAAAGGAACAGTTGGGAGGTCAATTCACCCTAAGCACGCAAAAGTCTGGGAAGTTGATTTGTCATTTTGAGTAAGCATCTGGTCTGTCCACATCCAAGCTAATATAATCCCATATGAACAAAGCTCTCCTGGTTGCTTTTGATGTGTACTTGCCCATTCTCTCCATGGGCCAAGTGGCTGCTAAAGCATGTGATGAGCAGCCATGTGGCCCATGGCATCCAGGTTGCAGTCTCTCTCTCTTGCTCACCTGGTGATGCACTTGCTGTGGCGTTCGCATGCTCTCTCCTTGAGTATGTTCCTAGCAGCTGCATGGTCCATGGTTGTGAGGGCTCTACACGCAGACCCCAGGAGAGACCCTGAAATGAACAGCATCTAAGAACAACCTAAGCTACCTGGATGGGGACTATGACCTCTTAGGAGCTGCCTGCAAGCTTCAAAAAACTACTTTAAATTGGAGCAGGAACTCTGGACACTGGCTTTTGTTTTGGTCTTGTTGAGGGGATTGGCTTTGAGACAAGGGTCCACCATTCTCCCAGATTGCACGGCACCTGAATAAAACTTATTTCCTTTTGCACCAGCATCTTCCTCATGAGTTTGGTTTTTGTGGCAACAGAGAGCTGAACCTCTAGGGTTTTTTGTTCACTTATAATTTCCTGGATGATAACATTAAACTGGTACAGCTCTAGCTCAGAGATTAGAATCCAGAAAGCCTCGATTTGTAACCTTAAATAATGTTCAACTAAACTTTCTTGCTGGTTTTATACCTTGCGTTTAATGTGGACTAAATTTCAAGAAAAGGAAGACCCCTGCTGAGTCCCAGGGTCTGCATGGGGGGTGGTAAGGATTCTTGGGTTACAGTTGGGATGATAACAGAGAGGGGCCTATAAGATGATACTTCAACTTTAGAGACATCTATGTACTGAAAACTGTTGATGGCTTAATTTTCATCCAAGTCCATTCTGAGACTTTTCTTTTTAACAAAATGCTTTTATTGCCATTTTTAAAGAAATGCACTGTTAGGCACTTGCATAAAATATCAAAAAGCATTTATAATCATTGTTTTGACTCTTCCTTTCTGGTCATGGAAAGTGGTCAAAAAAACAAAGCATGCTGAAACAAAGCATGACAGAAACAAACTTGTGCCAGGCATCATGAAGAGGAAAGAAGTCTGCTGCAGGTTTCTTGTATACGGGAGACAATCATTAGTAGTCGTCATAATTGACGCTGGCTCCATGCCTAAAGCTGTCTGGGCTCCGGGGACCAATGGCAGCATCTTCATCATAGTGACGGTGGTGGTAGTCATAGTAGTCGTGTCTGTTCCGATCTCTGTTTAGCCAATAGGTGACGTCATCTTCAAATTTCTGGAGAAGAGAGAAAGCCATAGAGAGTAGGTTTAAGGACATACACACTCCTGACCACATCTTACCTCTCGCTTTCTTGGTGGTGGTTTTTCTTCAATGGTTAACACCCCTCACTAAGAATGAGTCCTCGTTACAGTATTCCTGTGTTCAGAGGTCATTCCAGCTGGCTAAAGAAGGCTGATAAAACATTTTCCCCAAGGGAGAGCACACCCATACCTATGAAAACTTCTATCATATGAAAACTTCTAAATGTATCCTGTGCGTCAACATTATTCGCTTTTTTGGTAAATAAGATGGACATTTGCCTCATACAGTAACCACTTGGCCTGACCCCCGGCATGACACACGTCTTACCGTGGCAGACACTGTCTTATCTTCTTGTCTCATTCTGGTGCCAGGCCATTGTAGTGCACATAGTAGATGCTTAATAAATGTTGGCTAAATTAAATTGAATCAGTACAGCCACAGGGAAGGTTATTTTGGGTACTACTGATGGTGACTCCTTCATACCCGTGGTGTTGCTTAGGGCATGCATGGGTGCCTTATTCATTCCACAGGCACTGATTCAATGGACACAGCATTTTCTTGAGGGCCCCCTTGTGAAATTTCATAGGGGGTTTTTTAACCGAAATTTTTAAAAATGGGCAAGACTAAATTTCAAAGAACATACAGATGGCCTTTTTTTTTTTTAAAATTTTTTTTCAGCCCCAAGCTGGGCTCTGGAGGGCCACCCAACACAAGTGAGACATTCCCTGCTTTCAGGAAGCCTGCAGTTCCCGAGACACATGTGAAAACAGACAGTTACAGTTAACAAAAACAAAAGGGAAGGAGAAGGACTGCACATGAATGAGAAGCAAAGAATGACGTTCAGGTTCCCAGTGTGGGAAACCATCTTTGCTATTAATCCATTTTTAAAGGAGAAACTAGGTTTTCATTATTGGTGGTGAAGGTGCATGATGAATTTGGATTAAACGCACATCTGTCGATAGTCAGGACTTGATGAGAGATTTGGCATAAGGGCAAAAAGGCAAAGGAGACAAATATAGCCTGGGGAGGTTGGAGTGTGTTTAGAAGTTTGGGCTTGGGACCGGTTTTTCTCAAAGTGTGGCCAGTGCACCACTGCCTCCAGGTCTCAGTGATGCTATGAAATGCAGATTCTCAGGCACCATCGCACACCTCTGGGATCAAATTTTCTGGTGGTTGGGTCTCAGAAATCTATTTTTATTTTAATAAGACTGCCAGTAAACACTAAGAATGGAGAGCTCCTTGAGGATGGAAGCCCGGCCTCACCCACAGTGGTGTCTTGGTGGCTACCCTCTCTGGGTGAGCAGTGGGCCGCCAGTGCCAGGCTGATGAGCAGGACTCAATGTCTGGCTCCATTCACCTAGCCTGGGAGTCTTCGGAGCCCTCCACAGCCTCTGCCTCAGAAAGGAGATGAGGGGCCTGTCTCCCAATACTGCAGGTTTTTCCCATACTGAAATAAATCTTGGTCTTTGATTTTTCTCGTTTTAGTATCTTGTTTGAAGTTTGGCTTGAAATGTATTTTTTCACTAAAATTTTAAAATGGTTTATGACTACAGAAAAAAATGCAGGCTTGTATTTTTAATTCTGTATGTAGGAGGGGGACAAAGAAAAAAGAAGGCTGTAATTCCATTGCCAAAGATAGCCGCTATTGACATCAAGATGGATTTCCTTCTAGTCTTGTCTATGCATATCTAGGTATTATAATCTTATTTGATCCTCTTTATTCTAGTTGTGTTACCAGACATTATTTTATCCATTTCCCCATGTTGAACCTTTTTCTTTACATTCATTTTTTGTTGTTGTTGACACTATTACAGATGTCCCTCATTTTCCCCCCCCCCGCCCCCCTCCACCCAGCCCCTGCCCCTGCCCCTGCCCTTCACCACACTGTTGTCTGTGTCTACGAGTTCTTTGATTAATCCCTTCACCTTCTTTCATCCAGTCCTCCTACCCCTGCCCCTCTGAGATCTGTCAGTCTGTTCCATTTCCATGCCTCTGTTTTTATTTTATTCATCAGTATATTTTGTATGTTAGATTCCACACATAAGTGAGATCATATGGTATTTGTCCTTCTCTGACTGGTTCAGTTCACTTAGCATAATAATGTCTAGGTCCCTCCATGCTTTGCAAAGGGTAAGAGTTCTATCTTTTTTATAGCCACCTAGTATTCCATTGTGTGAATGTACTATTGCTTTTTTATCCACTCATCTACTGATTGGCTGTTTCCAGACTTTGACTATTGTATATAACACTACTATGAACATAGGGATGCATTTATTCTTTATGATTGGTGTTTTGGGATTCTTAGGGTATATTCCCAGAAGTGGGATTGCTAGGTCAAAAGGCAGTTCCACTATTAATTTTTTTAGTAAACTCCATAATGTTTTCAACAGTGGCTACACCAGTCTGGATTCCCACCAAGAGTGCACTAGGGTTCCCTTTTCTCCACAGCCTAGCCAGCACTTGTTGTTTGTGGATTTGTTGATGGTTGCCATTCCAGCAGGTATGAGGAGATACCTCAGTGCAGTTTTAATTTGCATGTCTCTGATGATTAGTGACCCACACCTTCATAGTCAATTGATATTTGGCAAAGGAAGCGAGAGCATACAATGGAGTAAAAATAGTCTCTTCAATAAATGGCATTGAGAAAATTGGACTGGGACATGCAAATAAATGAAACTAAACCACAAACTTACACCATACACAATAATAAACTCAAAATGGACAAAAGACTTAATTGTAAGTCTTGAAACCATAAAAGGCCTAGAAGAAAACATAGGCAGTGAGATCTCAAACATCTTGCAGAGCAATATTTTTGCCAATTTACCTTCTATGGAAAGGGGAAAATAAACAAATGAGACTACATTGAACTAAAAAGCTGCACAGCAAAAGAAACCATGAGCAAAATGAAAAGGGGACCTACTGTATGGGAGAACATATTTGCCAATGATACATCTGATAAGGGGTTAATTTCCAAAATATATAAGAGACTCATAAAACTCAACACCAGGAAGACAAACAATCTAATTTAAAAATGGGCAAAGGACCTGAATAGACATTTCTCCAAAGAGGACATACAGATGGCCAATTGACATATGAAAAAATGTCCATGTTGAACTCTTAATACCTGCTTTTCATGAATTGTAAATACTGGTAATCAAAGAAATGCAAGTGCTAAAAGATGATATAACATTTTCATCTACCAAATAAGTAAAAATTTTTAAAATTTTCAGTGAGAATACCAGATGCTGCTGAGAATGTGAGAAAATTGTGCCCATGACTTGCAAGAATATGCAATTTGGCACTACTCAATGACCCTTAAATATAATTCTACCTCAGTAACTCTCCAGAGCAGGATGCAATAGTAAGTAAGAAACAAACTACACACAAAGATGCAAATAATAGCACCTGTCTTTGGGTTGTTGTGAATGTTAAGTAAGTTAATTCATATAAGAAACAGAGTCATGCCTGGTACAGAGTTTGGCTATAAGTGTTTAGCTATTTGCACAACAAAAATTATATCTGAATTGCAAAAAGCTAATTGGGGGAACAACTGATATGTCCAATGGCTGGGATTGAGGAGAATATTATGATATGGCTACAGGCCTGCATTTTATGCAGCCGTTTAAAATGATCTTTTCAGGTCCCCAGCCCATTTTATAATTGGATTGTTTGTTTTATTTTTCTTGAGCTGTAAGAGTTCTTTATATATTTCGGATATTAGCCCCTCTCCAGAGGTACTGTTTGCAAATTTCTCCCATTTGGTTGGTTGCCCTTTTTTGTTTTGTTGATGGTTTCCTTTGCTGTGTAAAAGCTTTTTGGCTTCATGTAGTCCCATTCATTAATGTCTGTTTTTGTTTCCCAATAAATTTAATTTTAAAAATAATGTCTCCAAAGAGTTTAATTTGTTTTCACCTATTGCAGTATTTCGTATACACCCTTGATTCGCAATATGAATCATGGGCCTGTTTGGAAAAACACTTCCATCTGCCCTCGTTGGAGATGCCGCCCTCCTTCTGCCCCCTGGCTGGGGTGAAGTGCTGAATGCTCTCCACATTAAGCCTCCCACACTACGCTCCTCCTGAGCCCGGCACAGCCCTGTCGTCACTCCGCGGAATTCTGTGCCGCAGAATCCCCCACCTTAACCCCGTGCTGTCTTACCTCTCCCTGGTCCCCAACTGGGAGTCTGTGATTATAAAATTTTTTTTTCTGTAATTTGGTGAATATGTCCACTCACACTACCTGGCCACATGAAGTGAACCATCTTCTCCTGAAAAAGCATTGACAAATTATCCCCTGAACATCTGCAAATACCCATCTCTCTTTAAAAGTCAGTTTTCATCTCTTTCCATCGTCTTCATGGATCTTTGCACTGATCTTGTTGTTTCTGACATTTTTTGAGGTAAAGCTGAAAATCTTTTGGGCAGGTTGTGAGTTATTTTAAGAACACCCAGGCAGAGCCGTTAAAATTGTTCCTAGGAAAATTAGATTCTCAATGAATCTAAGTTCCAGCCAATCTGGGCAGTGACCTCTTGGAATTCCACTTCCCAAATATGTTGGAAGGGATTCCCTTTTGGACCCATGTAATGGAAAATTCCAGCTGCTGTCCTTATAATGGTGGTCATGTGACCCAATGCCTCGCTGGCTCTTGGCATGCAATGGGGGCTTGTACTTCTGAAGCGAAGTATGAAGCCTAATTTTTTTGTGCCTTGTCTCCTCAAGCTATATCAGTCTTCTCCTCCCCATGTTCCTCCTCTGACCCACACCACCCTGCAGGAAGCCAGCCCCAGCAGGAGAGAACACCCACCGCCTCGTCGAAGCCCATATAGAGGAACTGCTGGTACCACTGCTGGACCTCTGGTCGTGTCCGGTCCCACAGCTGACGTCTTGGACGCTTCAGGCTGCCTAAGAAGTCTTTGGCTCTGTTCTCATTAACAGCTACATCAGTTTTCTTTGGAGCAGGTGCTGAAATGAATAATTCCCACACCTAAATTCTTTTTCCTTTCTTGTTGGGGTGAATCACTATTATACATCCCATCCAGTGCCACATGGGGAGGATGATTTAGACTCAGCTTCATTTGTACACGGGGTCCTTGTCAGTAGGCTCTCCTGTTTGGGAACAGCCATGTAAAAGGGTGTGGACTGACCTTCAACTTCTCAGGCCCAGGGTAGAAATGAAATTCAGCTCATTCTCTGAAGCCACTTACCATGCTCACACCCTAGGCCTCATGCAGGGGCTGGTGGCTTATGCCCCCAGGCTCAGCATTTGACCAAGGACAGGCTGCCTAGTGCCACCCTGGTGTATAAGCACTGTACATGCAAACAAGGGAGCATTGTGCTTGCTTAGGAAACTAGGGGAATAAAAAGGACTGGAATGATGAGCTCTGAGGGAACTGGACCAAGCCCAGCTTCATGGTATGGCAGGTGCTCAGGTCAGATTGCTAGAACACACAGTGTCCCCTTTGGCCACCATCTATAGGTTTCACAGATCACTGATGGGTTGACTGAATCTGGAAGCGTCCTGATACTTCCTTTAACATGCTTCCTCTGACGTCTTTCTGTACGATCTCAACTATTTGAAAGGTAGCAACTCGGCAGGATGTGCCCAGGGAAAGCAGCTGTGCCACTGGGCCTGCCCCTGCTATGTGGCCTTGAGCCTGTGCCCTTATCTATACAACTGGACTGACCATCCCTGTCTCTGTGTTGTTCTGAAGGCGATACAGGGTAATGGAAGTGCTCTATGTGTTCATTGGTCACATGGATAAATATGAGGGGTTTGTTTTTTCACTCTTGGCTTATCTGTCTACTTCCTTTGGCGCCTGTTGCACTCTTTGGCACACAGTAGGTGTTTCACATGTATTTCTTGGCTTGAACTAAATAAAAGTTGAGGCTGTGCACCCAGGACTTATGATTATCCTGGCGGTTTCCTCTCCAGCCCCACCTTTGTGAGGCTGGCCCTGTGAGACCTGCTGTCACCAGGTTGTCCCTGGGGAGGTGGCTAGAGGTCCAGCATGAGAAGGAAGCACTCCAAGGGACCTCAGAGACTGAGGCGGGACGAGGGCCTCATGAGCAGATGGAATTGCTGAGAAAAATGCCTCGGGAGCCCCCTGGCCCTGAGAGGGGCTGCTAGTGCTCAGCACCTGGTTCCCTGAGGGGCAACTGGGAAGCATGCAAGTAAGAGCTTGAGGCCCTGTTGGAGCCATCTTGAACATACCAGAGTCCCTGCTAACTCAGAGAGACAAGAAGTGATTAAATGTTCACATCAGAAATGGGGCCACACGATTTCTAAGGCATAGTTAACTTCTTAATTTTACAGATAAAGATGAAAATTCCAAGAGGGGACGCGGCCTTCACAAGACCACGCCATTGGTCTGATGACAGAGGGCCCAGTTCACACTGTGTGGCTCCCAGACAGTTTCCTTTCTATGACATTTTCCTGCTGTCTACCACATTTATCTTAGGGGTATTTTCCACAACAGATATTCGTAACAAAACATTCCTCCATTTAACCCTCCTCCCAATAGCTGACTGGATACGGACTACCAGGACGATACAATACGCGTACCCACCAACTGAGCTTTTCTGGGCTCCAGAGGATATGCTCTAAGGTTAGACATGTGCATTTCAATGAACACAGTAGCACTGCTCCTTTTATTCCTGAGTCCACATGGACTGTTTTCAGAAAAACAACCTTCAAACATTTACTGACAATAATATTTATCTAATAAAATACTATAGCACACACCCACAGAATAAGCTCCTCATATCTGCTAGTCCTATAAGGACTAAACACTTGATGTTTGCCCAAATATGATACTCCAGTGAGCATGTTCAACATTGCCATCTCATTTTAATCCTGTGAAGAATGCAACTGTTATCATTTGGGATATATTTACCTTCCCGTTTCTGAAGTACCAGCTTGAGTTTATTTCCATTTATGGCACCTAGAGTAATGAAAATAGAAGTCAGGTTCAGAGTTGCATTGTACTCTTTAATTTCTCAAATGCAAATAACAGTTGGAAAAAGTCACTGTGTGTGTCCATTTGATTTGGCAACTTGATGATATTTTAGCATTTAAGGCTTATTGTATTCCCTGTTGTCCAGGAGAAGCAGTTCAGGCTGCCCATGACTCAGACTGGTCACAATGACAGTGTCTGACCAAGGGCATTCTGATACCAGCAAGTCCCTGGGAAAAGTGACATGTTCTTTCAGCCCTCTGTCTTATTATGAGGGCCAGCCATCTGTCACATGGACCTTCATGCAGACTTCCCCTTTCATGATATAGGGGGTGGAAATACCACCCCCCAAGTTCATGTCCACCTGAAACCTCTAAATATGAACTTATTGGAAATAGGGTCTTCTCAGACACAATTAGTTAAAGCTCTCGAGTTGCTATCACACTGAACTTAAGGTGGGCTCTAAATCCAATGACCAGTGCCCTTACAAGAAGAGGAGAGGATTCAGAGAAGGTAGCTGTCGGAAGACAGGCACAGGCAGAAATGGGAGTTACGTGGCCATAAGCCAAAGGACATACCTTAGCTTTCCAAAAATTCAGCCCAGTTTTGTAGCTTGTCTTTACCATCTTATAATCAGGTATATCTTCCACTATTTGTTATTTTTTTAAAGATTTTTTTAATAGTATATTTTATTGATTATGCTGTAACAGTTGTCCCATTTTTTTTTTCCCTTTGCCTCACTCTACTGGGTACCCTATGTCCCTCGAGAAATCTCCCCTCCCCCTGCTTAGTTCATGTCCAGGGGTGGTGCATGAAAGTTCTTTGGCTTCTCCCTTTTCTATGCTATTCTTAACATCCCCCTGTCTATTTTAGTTCCTCACAATTATGCTTCTTGATCCTTGCACCATATCCCCTTTCCTCCCCTTCCCCCTACCGTCTAATAATCCTCCAAATTATCCCCATAGCTATGATTCTGTTTGTGGCCTGATTGTTTGCTTACTTTGTTTTTGTTTTTATTATTATTTTTTTAGATTCAGTTGTTGATTGTTGTGAGTTTGTTGTCATTTTAATGTTTATAGTTTTGATCTTCTTTTTCTTAAATAAGTCCCTTTAACATTTAATGTAATAATAGTCGGGTGATGATGAAGACCTGTAGCTTTATCTTGCCCTTCCATTCTAAATGACAGCTTTGTTGTATAGAGTAATCTTGGTTGTAGGTCCTTGCTTTTTATCATTTTGAATACTTGCTTGCAAAGTTTCCTTTGAGAAATCAGCTGACAGTCTTATGCAAAGTCCTTTGTAAGTAATTCTCTGATTTTCTCTTGCTGCTTTTAAGATCCTCTCTTTATCTTTAACCCTTGGCATTTTAATTATGATGTGTCTTGGTTTGGTCCTCCTTGAGTCCAACTTGATTGGGACTCTCTGTGCTTCCTGAACTTGCATATCTATTTCTTTCACCAAATTAGGGAAGTTTTCTTTCATTATTTTTTCAAATATATTTCCAACTTTTTGCTCTTTCTCTTATTCTGGCACCCCTATGCTGCAAATGTTGGCGTACTTGAGGTTGTCCCAGAGGCTGCTTATACTACCCTCATTTATTTGGATTTTTTTTCTTCTTGTTCTGATTGGTTGTTTTTTGCTTCCTTATGTACCAAAGCATTGATTTGAATCTTCGCTTCATCTGCTCTCCTGTTGTTTCCCTATAAATTGCTCTTTATTTCAATTAGTGGATTGTTTGTTTCTGACTGGATCTTTTTTATGCCGCTGAAGTCCTCACTAAGTTCCTTGAGTATCCTTATAACCAGTGTTTTGAACTCTGCATCTGATAGATTGCTTATCTCCATTTCATTTAGGTCTTTTTCTGGAGTTTTGATCTGTTCTTTCATTTGGGCCATGTTTCTTTGTCTCCTTGTTTTGTCAGCCTCCCTGTGTTTGTTTCTATGTATTAGATAGAGCTGCTTTGACTCCGTATTTTGGTAGTGTACTCTAATGTAGGAGGTATCCTGTAGGGTCCAGTGGCACATCCTACACTATCACCCAAGCTGGGGATTTGAGGTATACCCTTCATGTGGGCCGAGTATACCCTCCTCTTGTAGTTGAGCTTTGATTGCTGTTAGCAGATCAATGGGAGGAATTTACCCAGGCCAGTCAGCTGCAAGGACTGGCTGTGACCACTGATCACAAACCTCCACCATCCGTGGATGATCACCTGTGCAGGGGCAGGGTGGTGATGCTCTGAAGTGGTCTGTAGCTGTCCACTGGGTGTGCTGGCTCTGGGGTTTCCCTGGTGGTGCAGGCCAAGGTCAGGCCCCACCTGTGTTTTGCCCATAGCCACCCTGCCTGAGCTGTAAAGCAATCTGAGATGGTTGCTACTTTTGCTGGGCTTGGAGATTCCAAGGCAAAGCCAAGCTGTAAATATAGGCTGGATACTGCTAATGCCTGGCCTGGGACTCACTGAGGCCAGCTGTTGCTTGTTTGATAGGATTTAGGAAGTTGTGAAGCATGAATCAAGACCAGCCATTCATATGGAAAAGCAGTTTGGGTGGACTCATAAACTGGGTGGGGTGGAATCTCTGGGAATCTCCAAGGAGGGGGTCAAACAGTGTGAGCCATGTTAATGGAGTCTCAAATATGGCACCAGCCTGCTGGCTCTATGGCTCTGTCGGGGGAGGGCTCAGAAAAGGGGCAATGACCTCTGCTCGCCTCAATGCCAGACATCTCAGCCTCTCCCAGTGTGCCTCTGGTGCCCTTCAAGCTGCCACCCCAGTGCTGGAGCTCAGAGGGAGTGAGACTGAATAGGTGAGTATGTGTGTGGGTTCTTTAAGAGGAACTACTTGGTGCTCCAGTAGTTTCTTCCACCAACTCAATCCTAACTGGATTTTGCAGCCAGAAGTTGTGGAGACTTATCTTCCTGGCACTGGAACCCTGGGCTGGGGGGCCTGGTATGGTTTTGGGACCCCTCGCTCTTGAGATATCCCTCCCAAATTTTTATCTACCATATGTGGGTAAGAGAGCCTGTTCTGCGTCTGTGCCTCTCATACCAGTCTCAATGGATGTGGTTTTTTTAATTCCATAGTCGTCAGACTTCCATTCAACTTGATATCTGATGGCTCTGAGTGACTGTTGTTCTATATTTTAATTATAATTTTAATGTGAAGAGGCAAGCCATGTCTGTCTACACTGCCATCTTGACCAGAAGCCTCACTATTATTTTTACTCACTTCTAAAAATGTTTCTAATCAGCCTAATCATTTCAATGGAAAACAACAGGTCCAGCCTCACAGAACACCCTGCTCCATGAGGTAATCTGGTTTGAGGACCTACCAATGCCTCTGATCCATAAGTGCCACATATAAGTATAAGGCTTGTCAAAGCCCCTGGGCGAAAGTCTCACTTGGTAAGTGCTGAGCCAAGTGTCTTCAGAGCTAAGGAGCCAGTCTGGCCTCAGATGAACAGGCACTGAGGTGGTGGTGCCTGCTTTCTGGGGTAGGTACTTAACCTCTCTCTCTCCATGGATAGGCCCCAAGGCCCATGTTTCTATCTGAAAAGGCACAGTTTTCTGGGAAAAGAAGCCATAGCTTTTGCCAGACTCTCAAGAGTGTCTGGGATCTAAATAAGATTAAGAACCCCTGCCTAAAAAATTTACTAGGTAGTTGAGGGGGGAACACACACACACACACACACACACACACACACACACACACACACTTGTCGGGAAAGGTCCCAAATTGGATGCCTGCTGCTGAACTTTTCCTGCAAATGTGTTTTATTGGCATGCCAGTGTTTACAAAATTTTGAATTTGAACACCTCTGAGCCTAAGTCACTTAGTACACTCTGTGGTCTTTAAACAGCCACTTCTATTGGCCCCCTGTAAGTATTTGAGTGATACCCAACTTCCTTTAGAGTAGGTGTTCTAGCTGGGGAGCCCCATTTGGAAAGAATCTGTAGGGACCACACTGAAGGAATAGAGTGCAGGTGGTGTTACCTTCACGTCTTCCATAGGAGGGCTGGGTGTCTGCTGGACAGAGGGCTCAGAGAATAGCAGAGTATGTGGCAGCCTATGGAAGAATTTAGTGGTTTTCATTGTCTATGCTTGCATCAGTCTACAGTGATGTGATTGTTTAAAAAGCAACTGCGGCCCTGGCCAGGTAGCTTGGTTGGTTAGAGCGTTGTCCCAATATGCCAAGGCTGTGGGTTCAATCCCTATTCAGGGCACATCCAAGAACCAACCAATGAATGCACATAAATAAGTGAAACTACAAATCAATCTCTCTTTCTCCCTTCTTTTCTCTCTCTAAAATCAATTAAAAAAAAGAAATTGCAATTTTAGGCTGCATTAATAACAAGGTAGCATCTTGCAGAAAAGAAGTAATTATCCTGCCTCTGTTTTGTCACTACTCTGATCAGACCACCCCTCTCCTATGGTTCACTTCACAATATCTGACTTTCAGAAGGTCACAGGAAAATTGGAGTAGTGGTCAGAGGAGAGAGTCTATCTAGAGAGGACAAGGGCTCAAATATGTGTTATATGAGGAAAAAGTAAAAGAATTTAGATGTTAAACCTAGAGAAAGAAAACTGGGAGAAAAGCTATGACTCTAGGGGGCCATAGATTAGGACCTGAAGTAAGGTTTCCAACACCTGGGCAGCCATGCAAAATTGCCACAGGTCATGCCAAGAGGTTTCACATCAAGAGTTGTTGGAGCCTTCTGAGCATAAATAAGCAGAGATGAGCTCTTGCTGAGGCTACTAGAGCCAGGATTATTGAGAGGGCATGGCACTACTCTTAAAGGCTGCACTTCCCTTCCAAGAGTCAATGAAAAATCAATGGAAACATTTCCCAAAGCACACAGGGATGTTCCTTGGCACTAATATCAGCATTCATTACTATCTTAACATTTGTTGATCTCCAACAGCTCACACAGAATAAGTCCCTCCATCTGCTTGCCTTCTGTAAAAGTGCTGAACAATTCATGAATGAAATGTGGTCTTACACTGGAATAGACATTAGGTTTAAGCATTTGTGATGAGGCTGCAATTTCTTGCAGCAAATGTGTCACCACTACTCCAGATTAGAAGCCTCACCAATTCTCAGCAATACAGCTGAAAATCATGAATAAACCCCAAATTATGAGTTGACAATGTTGCCACTATGCCAATTACTACGACTGAACTATGTGGACCAAAAAAGGGCCCATACTAAACCAGACAAGCTCAGGTAAGCATGGCATCCTTACAAACTCAGAGACTGAAAGGAACCACATAGAATAGTCTGAAATTAAAACTTTCTAACTAATAGTGAGTCATGGCAGGTGGTCATGTCCTAGACCGGTATCTTCCTTGACAAAGGTCAATCTTTACCTTAACTGAGACTGTCTATTGTCTTTTTGTATCTACAATAACACGCCTTTGGAATATCTTTTTTTCTTTTTTTCAGACCCCTCACTGCACCAGAGCAGAGACCACAAAACCCCTCATTGTTATTGTTATCTTATTGTTAACTGTTAACTATCCCATGCCCACAAATGTAAAGGAAGTATGTGTCTATTCGGTTTACTTTTCATTCAGTCCCAGATATTTCCCAGCTTCACTTTCTCCCACTTCCCAAATCTATTACTAGTGGATTTCATGTAACTCCCTTACATCTCCTCCTTTGATTGTAATGTATAAAACAAGTTGCAAAACTACCATTCTCTGGGGCATTTTCTTAATCTATTGAGATTTTGCTCCCTGGTGATTGTCATCAGTTTGGCTCAAATAAACTCATATGAATTCTCTACAGGCTTAAGTGTTTCTTATGTTGACAATGATAAATACTGACATATATGATTTGAACATCACATTAAATTTGTTTGAAGAAAAAAACAAAGAATAAGTAAATAACTGTGATATTCTTTTCTGTAATATGGTATTTTGTTTTTTTGTTTTTTAACTCCAACACCATCAGCTACTATTTCTATACTGGATAATAGGCACTTTAAAAAAATTAATATATTTTATTTAATTAAACATTTTTAAAATTGTTTAACTATATTTGTCTCCATTTTCCCACCACCACTTTTCCTCACCCCAGGATAATAGGCACTTATGAATTTATCAAATCTATTTACCTGGTATAGATCTCCAGGCAGGTTCAGAATTGCAAGATGCTTCTTTGATCACTTTACTAATTGGCTACAAAGGGCAATGATTTTTTTTCCCATTAAATGTTTTTGGATGTCATAAAAAGCCATCTTTGGAACTCTACATAGATATAATGATATAAGTCATAAGAAGTTTCACATTCCCGCTCAATGATAATACTGTAATATTGAAATTGACTCCTTTCACTATGTTCTTGGTATGAATAAAATAAAGTACAAGCCCTGAAAGGAAATAACTTATAGCCAATGCTCACTCTCTTTATTGGGATGTGCTTCTTAAAATGAAAGGAACAAAGAATATGAGAGAGACAAATCATGTACTGGGAAATTACTGACCAGCCTCCCCTGCAGTTTGTAATTTAGAACTGCAGTAATCCTCCCCACTTGAACAGGTCCCCTGCTGTTCTAAGGACCAAGACTCCAACCTTAGGGATCCTCCTTCCCCTCCACCAGGAGCTTGTTTTTCTATATCGGCTTTGGATAAGTGAAATACAGAAGCTGAGCAACCAAAGGAATCTTCATTTCCATCCGATAGTGCCCAACTACTTTGCAGTGGGAAAAGCACCAGCCTCGTTTCACCAGCAAGTCACTTCAGGCCTTCCAGCCTGTTTCCTTAGCAGTACATCTGGCATCACAGTACCTGCCTCTCTCGGTTGTGAGCCTCAGAGGCACTCACGCAGGCACGAGGCCACTAGTGAACCACAAAGGATCACACACAGGAAGGTAATGTTACGCAGACAAAACATACTATTTCAGGTTGCCTTTCTTAAGATGGGATCTATGGCCTCCCAGGGTTCAGATGTCTGCACATCCACCAAATTGCTTCATTTGGGGCATATGTGTGAATGTGCACGTCATTTATAGAGGCTGTTTCTTTGGGAATTTTCAACCCATTCACTGAGGGGTCCATGAAGTAGAGAAGGTGAAGCATTTCTCCTTTAAGAGCAGTTCCCCTATATGGGATGTGAGGCCTGCTCAAAGCTTTGCTACCTGGAACTTGACCCAGCTGGACGTGCCTGAACGGGAATCTCCATGATGATGTCTTGTTGGATCCCCAGTCTGAGGTCGGGGAATGGGGGTTGGGAAGAGGGGTGTGTCCACCACCTGATTCAAGCTCCCATCTCCCCTTCCCGCATTACTTAGTCCTGAAATACTTCTTGCCCCTCTTTCGGAATTACAGCCCTCATTTTCCCCCAAGGTTATCAAACATATCTGAGATCTTGTCCTCGACCACCGTACTGCATTGGCCTGCCCAAGAGCATCATTTGCTACTCCTACAAATGCAAAACCCAAACCCTCTATCATCTTTGGTCCTTGCCGGGATTCAAAATGGGCCCCCATGCCCCCACTCCAGCACCGATCTGCCTCCCCTGCTCCCTGCCATAGCCCCGCTTACTTGGACCCAGGCACAGCACCAGGAACAGCGCTAGAGCAGTCACAGCCAGGACGGCGGGCCGCGCGGAGGAGGAGGCCATGGCTGCACCCAGCGGTCAGGAGGGGAATGCTCTCACTACTAGCGGCAGCGCGGGACGACTGGCCAGCAGGAGAGAGGGGCACGGGCGGGCGGGCGCTGCCTGCGTCCCTGCCGGGGCGGAGCCCGCCGGGCCGGCGCGGTGCCAGCGGGCTGAGGGCCAAGCGGCTTCGCAGAGCGCTTCGGAGACTGGCCCTCTGGCGAATCTCACGGATGCTCACGATGCAGGTTCCACCAAGCACTGCCGGGGGCCTTGGGGCAGGTGGGGACCAGTGGGGTTCCAGCGGGGTTCCAGCTACCCAGTGAGGGGCTGACGCCATCCAGGAGGGAAAGGCTGATGCCCCAGGAAGGGTGGGAGGCGGCCTGCCGACCCCATCCCGGGTCTCCCCCTCACCACTCCTGTCCCTCTCACCCTAGCCGGGTGCTCTGGCCGCTCGTGTTGCCCCTGTCGCTAATACTCTGCCGCCTTCCCATCGTACATTGGCCTATAAAGAGGGCTCTGGAATTTCCTTAATTCCCCAAGCAGCGCTTAAGGATGCTTTTGGCAGTGCTGTGTTTTGGTATATTTTGAAAGACTCTACAGTCTGGGTTCAGAGCTGCCATCCAGGAAAACATCTCACCCCAAGCTCCTGGAATAGAAAGCCTTTCAGAAACAAGGAACTGAGTGAGCTCTGTAGGCGGAGGCAGAACAAGAGTGTCTCACTGTGTGCTCTGAAGTGAGGCCCAGTGCCAGGCCGCCCTGATCAGATACAGAGGACTCATAGGATGGTAAAGGAAAACTGAGACAAATTTGTCCCAGCTGACCTTGAGCTGGTCACCTAATTAGTCTCTCCAGGCCTTGTCTACAAAAATGGCCAGTGGTGCCGAAGTTACCTTTAGGGGTCCTTTAATACGCTATGAACTCAGTTGATTCTCTCTTTCCTTTACCTTCCAGTGGTGCTTACTCTCTCACCATATAGTTACTTCTCTGTTTAATGCAGTTGGATTTTTCCAGCGATCAGCAGAAGGATGTATTAATATTGAGCAAGAAAAGACAGGTGGTGGTGGGGTGAAGAAAAGTATGAACATGGCCTGAGAGAACCACAAGGACTTGGGCTGCACAGATTTTCAGAGGGAAGCAGAAAGATGATGTTATTCGTCAAATGATCGTAGGGCAAAGCTATAAGCCCTTCGGGAAAAGCTAGAGTAGGGAGTAGGATTTAAAAAACACCCTAAAAATAGCAATATTTGTACTTTTCCCCAAGGACAAGAAATTCATTATTAGGAAGAAAAAGCAAATAGAAAGTTGAAGTTGTGTTTGGAATTGTTTGGCGCATACATTTAAGATATTATTTCTAATCTCCTATTTGTCTTGTGGAGCTCATCCCCCTTTGCCTCAAATCTTCACCTTAACTAGGATCTGATCAGAATGAAGTTCATGGAGCCAGAGGAGAGTAGCCACTTACTTCCCTGTATAGTTTTCTTTTTCCGTCTTTTGGAGGAACGCCCACATACTACACCTTCTACCCACCTGCTCCTGTATATGCTTGAAAATGCAGTGGCAGCTCTAGTTTTCGTTAATTCAAAGAGTCCAAGGGGAACAAAATGTCTGCTTTAATCAGCTCATGCAGTAGTTGTAGGACTTGAAAGCAAAGTAAATATTGAATCTTAATTTTTAGTGTGCCTATATATAAAAAATACCTTGTTTACTGTTCTGTTATAGAATTGGTAAGATAAATCAAGAATCCTACAGAGAAGTATTTTAAAATAATTGCCAATAAGGTGAGAAAAACATTTCCTGAGGATTAGCCCAGACTTTTCTCCCCAAGGAGGGAATGGAGGCGACCTCATCCTCCTGCCAACTCCAAACTACTCAAGCTGGCCCTGGGGCCCGGGGAGGGCAGCGTCTTTCCCAGGGAGGGCAGTGACCAGAAGACATGGCCAGAACAGTACACTGATGGGAAGTCTTCATTCTGAAGCTAAGTCTATGCTTGCTAACAAAGAAGATAAGAATGATCATCATGTGACATAGAAAAACCACTTGATAATCACACAAAGCTTCGATGTTTACTTGCAAAACAAGAAAGGTTTCTAGGATATTCTATAGTCCTGGATAAATGGAACATTACACATCCTAAATAATGACTGAATTCTCCATCTCTGCCAATGAGAGACACAGCCTCTTCACACGCAATTTTTATTGAAATATAGTACAGAAAAATGTGGAGATAAAATATATGGCATAATGATCATGAAGCAACATTATTTACATTCTAGAGTCCCTGTCCTCTGCCAGGCCCTCTCCACCCATATGTACTGTAACATAATAGTGTATTTGGTATAATCCTCTTTAAAAACATTTTATTGGTATTTTATTTTCATTTCCTTAAAAAGAAAAAACCCTCATAAAATAAATATTATGGTTACTAATAGAAAGACAGTAATTAATAAGGAGAAGTGTTAAAAATTGTGAAATTTATGGTTGTGTCAATTTACCAATTCAGGTCAGTGCAATTCTGTATCCACATGTATTTCTCCAAATGCTCACTGGTTGTCCTTTGCCTAAACCTAGACAACATTCTGGAGTGAAATGTCTTTGACTCCGATATTCTCATCTGCCTTACACATTGTTGGTAACACTTTATCACCACTAATAAAGTGGCACAGAACACAGTCATCTACCTGTCTCATTTGTCTTCCAGCCATTTGCATTCATGACAGGTCATGGTTTTACTTGGATCCTGCTCAGTGGGGATTTTCCTGCCTCTCTCCCACACAAACACAGAGGCCTACGAGAGGAAGGAGACTTTGACCAGGCCCCCATGGCCATTTCTTTCAGTACTAGGGCATGATGTAAGTCCCCAGGGTTTAATAAGCCGCGAGTGCCATGTGGCAGGGAGCCACTCACCCTGCTTTCGCAGGGGGCTATTAACTTGGTGTTCTCGCTGGAGACACTGAGTCAGTTTTCCACATTGAAGTTCCTTTCATTTGTTTATTTGTTCAGCAGTATTTACTTATAAAATTTTAACTACACATGAGGCATTGTGACAAGCCCTTTTCTTCCTATTTAATTACATTTGCCAAGTGCATGGCTCTCCCTTTTTCCTCTGCTAATGCTGGCTCTTTTCTTGATTCCAGTGTTTCTCAAACTTCATCTGAAAATCCCAAGGTGCTTGTAAATGCACATTCCTGGGGCACACTCTATGGAATTGTCAGCCCCAGTGGGGCCCTGGCATAGAAATATTTCCATTTTTTGGAAAGAGGATTCTAGAGGATGCTGATGTCAGCAGTGCTCAGAGTGCTCTCTGAGACACTCAGCCCACTGAGCTGTCCACTCAGTCTTCACCTGGCCTTACTCACCCCAGTTTTTCTCCCCGCAATTACCACAGCAGTTTCAAGAGCTTCATTTCTGCGATTTGGTATAGGAGCTAAGAACACAGTTCCAGAGATGTGTCATGTGCTAATGAAGTACATACATCACGTGTCCTCGCTAAGCCTCATTCTGTAAGATGAAATCAGAGATCACATGTCCAGATCCTCATATTCAGTAAGCTCCCAAAAAATGTCAGGAGTGGTTATCATCAACAACACCCCCTCTGACCTCCCCATTTATAGTGTCTGACACCTGCATGCTCCTCCTGCTCCTCACCCTGCAGTCTAGGCCAGGTGAACAAGAACCCTCATTTTGGATGGGTCCCAATCCATCCCATTATCATATGTCATTAACTCATTGTCATACATTATCACGTTTTTATCATACATGACCAGATTCACCTTCTCAAACATAGCCCTGACTCCACCTCTCTCTCTTACTTCGTAGTTCACAGGAAACGTAGCACGAGAAGAACATGCTAAGTGATATCACCTGGTGGGGGGTGAGTGGCGAGGATGCCATGAGCCTGATGGGGGAAGTTCTGCAGGACAAACAGCACAGGAAAGAGGGTCTGATGCAGAACTGCTACTGATTACAAGAGGCCTCAGAGCCAAACCAACCAAATACAGTGTGGGACCCAGCTTGACTTTCAATCAAATAGAGAAGAAGAAGACAGGAAAAACTTGATCATGGAATGGGCTTCCTATTAAGATGGTTGATTTTTTTTTTAGGTATAAAATGGTTTTAAAGTTACTCTGCTAAGCTCACATCTGTTAGAACTACATACTAGAATAGTTATGGGAGAATGATATGATGTATGGGATTTGGCTTAAAATACATCAGGAAAAAACTAACAAATGTTGATAATTCTTTTGCTAGGGGACTACATATACATTCCCTGAGCCCCAGTTGTGATAGGTCATCATTTGTTCCCTGTGTATATTTATAAATTTCCATAATTAAAAATTAAAAATATATACAGAATCTTTGTAGCACCAATTGACTATAGAATCTGTAACATATGCATGACCTTCAGATTCTCTGTTTAGCCTTAAAATATGTACAACAGTTATTTTTCCCTTCCACTTTCTGTAGGTTCCACAATTTCACCCAAAGTCAATTCTTGCACATATTCTTGGCACAGGACTTTGCACACAGAATTCCTCTGGCACGCTGCTGGGCCTTCGCCTCTGTTAGTCAACCCCCTATGTCCTGCTTACCTATCAACGCAGGGCTCAGCTAGGTGGTTCTGCTGCTTCCCACAGTGATGGTGGTGCCTGCTCAACAGACTCAGCTGGGGTGGGCTGCACTGGACAGTCCCAGAAAACTCTGCTCATGTGTCTGGCACCTTAGTGGGGTTAATTGGAAAGTCTAGGCTCAGCTGAGATTGTCAACTGAAGTGTTTACATGTGGCCTTTCCAGTGAGAGGTCTCAGGATAGCTTTCACAGGCAGCTATTGAAGATCAGCTGCTCCAAATGACAAGAGGAAGCTGCCAGTATTTTAAGGTCTTGGCCTTTTATATATATATAAAATCTTCACCTGAAGACATTTTTTTTTCATTGCTTTTTTTTAGAGAGAGAGGAAAGGAGAAAGACAGAAAAATTGATGTGAGAGAGAAGCATTGATTGGTTGCCTTCTATATGTGCCCAGACCAGGGATTGTATATGTCCAGACTGGGGATTGAACCCACAACCTAGGTGTGTGCT